TTAATATCCTAATGATTTTTGGCATAAAAGAAAAATCGATAATACTGACCCATACAATGTATTTTTGGCTATTGCTACAAATATAGCAGTGCAACTTAAGACTGGTTTTGTGGTCCAGGGTCACATATGATATGGGCAAAGCAGTGTAAATATTAAACAGTAAACCTGTAAACAATAACACATCTAATAATCTATATTATTAGTATAAATACTACTTTTAAACAAATAATAAAAGCATACTAGCTGATCTCCTTCATCCTCATGAAACAGCAGAGGTTGTTTCAGTGGCCGCCGTATATACGTATGTGTGGCATTTCCCTGGAAGTAGGTTGCAGCAAACTTTGCAAATGTATACTCTGATAGGTCTTCCTCTTCATCATCAGGAAGTGGAAGAGGTTCATCAATGACTTTCTCAAACTGTCTGGGAACTTTCTCAAGATCCTGTTACATCCAAACAAAATCAAACTAAGATAATGTGAAAGCCAGGCAAGGTAAATTACAGAGATTAATAGTCATAAAGTCCTGCACCTCAAACCCTTCTGGTGCTTCACCCTCCAGGTTGGGAAGAGAGTTGGCGCTGCCCAGGAATCCGAACATCTTGTCCACCATGTCAGAGTCGTTGACTGGCTCCTGTTTTTCTCTCTCCATCTGCTCCAGAAACTCCTTTTTCCTCAGTGTCTCATCCCGCTCTGCCTGCTCTCTCTCCTTCTGCTCTTGGTCGAGCTGGGCCAGACGCTCCTGGTGCTTCCTCTCTGCCTCTGCTTGAGCCCTACGTGCCGTCATCTGGTTCCTCAGACGCTCCTCCTCAACCAGACGCTGCCGCTCTGCTTCTAATCGTCGCTCCCTCTAAACAGAGAGAGAACAAACTTTATTATAACACAGTTAAGTATCTGCTTGTCTGAAGGATGGATGGATGGACGGATGGACGGATGGGTGGGTAGATAGATCGACGGATTAATGAATGGATGGATGGATGGATGGACGGACAGATTGATGGATGGGTGGGTGGATGGATGGACGGATTGATGGATGGATGGACGGATTGATGGATGGATGGGTGGGTGGGTGTATGGATGGATGGATTGATGGACTGACGGATGGATGGGTGGGTGGGTGTATTGGATGAATGGATGAACAGATGGATGGATGGACAGACAGGTTGGTGGATAGATGGATGGACGGACGGATTGGTAGATGGATGGTCGGATGAATTGGTAGATGAATGGATGGATGGATGGATGGATGAATGGACGGATGGATGGATGAGTGGATGAGTGGATGGATGGATGGACAGACAGATTGATAGATGGATGAACAGACGGACAGACTGGTAGATAAATGGATGGATTGGTAGATGGATGGATGGATGGACAGATGGACTGATGGATGGGCATATGAATGGATGGATGGACGGGTTGGTGTTTGGATAGATGGATGGATGGATGGATGGATTGATTGATGGATGGACTGATCGACAGACAGATGGCTGGATAGATGGGTGGATGGATGAATAGATAGATAGATAGATAGATAGATAGATAGATAGATAGATAGATAGATAGATAGATAGATAGATAGA